AAATGACAAATTACTTAATTTGAAAATATATTAAAATCTTTATTAGCTCATTATTATTTTTATATATACAACTTTACTTTACACTGCCTTTAATCTCATAATTATATTCACTACGTTATAAAATGTGTGTAATAAAGTTATAAAAACACAGATGAACTGAACTGTTCCTTCTCCTGTTTCTCCATCTTTGACATTAATGTTTAATTTTCATCTTTTCTGACAGTTGACAGTTGACACATTACCACAAAGAATGCATGGGGAACTACAAAGGATCAATGGTTAAAATGTGATCAAACCCGACATCAAAGGAATCCCCGTTGTAAGCGGCCAATGCAGCGTTCTGTCAGGCCACTGTTTTTATGTCTATCTTTAAGGTGGCTTACTTTTTATTCCCAAGTTTGTGTGGGGATATTTGTCTGTGTGTCTTGGTCTACTGTATGTTTACGGTTGGGTAATGAAGGGTTAAAAATGGTACCAAAAGTTGCGATTTTGTTTTTCGTTCAAAAGACAGTCTGACAATGATTGATGTGCTGGTGTTTTTATGCTCCAATCGTTCTAACCTTCCCCGATAAACTTGAAATTAAACTTCCACACTTCAGTTATGCAAACAGCAAAAATAAACTTTAAAGAAGGCAGTAGCTCTTTGTTTTTGCAGAGAAAATGAAGAAAACAGCAGCTATTTTCCCCCATGTGTTTCAGCACTGACATGAGTGAAAATGATCAGTTGTCAGAAAACTGATTCAGCAGTGAAAAAAACAAACAAGCTTTTCAACTCGCACATGCAAAAAAAAAAAAAAAAACCCAAAAAATAATAAATACAAATAAAAAACCTGAGAAGCGCAGGTGTGTGTTTTATTTTCTGATTTTTTTCCTCCTTCTGCTTGATTCGTTTTCATCTGCTGCTGATCCAGACTCAAGGTGATAAACATGGAAATAAAGACCTGCTTTTGTGTGTTTTCATTCCCTCCTTTTTAAGAGGCTCGGTACAGGTTCCTTTCTGCGAAAACACTCACGCAGCTGAAAACCAAGGGCACGCTACACAATAACCCTGTGGCTGAAAGAGCGTCAGAACCATAGCACTAATGGCTAGAAAGCTTTTATCACCCACAACTCGAATTTTTAATCAACCTCTCAGGGGAGGAGTTTGAAATAAAAAAAGAAAAAGGTGCTTCATGTAGCACGCTGAAGTCTTTCAAGGTTTTTCTCATTTCAAACTGTCGCCTCTATCATCAAACTGTAAATAAATATATTAAAAAGTGTAATTAAAAGCGGCAGAAGCGGCAGCAGGAGCAGAAGACGAAACGTTCGTCTCTGATGTTTTCAAAAGACAAAAACCTGAAGGACGTGTAGGCAGGAAATGCGCACACAAATACATGAAATGAGTTTTCAATCGCATGGTTTTATACCTGCAGAATATATATCCTCACATTAGAATACTAAAGACCAGAGTTGTGCTGCAGATGTAGGCTGTTGACCTGTTAGGTCCACGAAAGAAGTCACAATTCATCAGAAGGTGGTTCCACTGGCCACAAAATTAACTCACTGATAAAATGTAAACGACAAATGAAACAAGAATCTTGTTGGTGGAATATCGTCAAAGTTTCACTTGTGAATTCCAAAGCTACTTTTTAAAAACACATTTTAATCTACAACAAATCTTTGAAAGACCCATGCGGCATGTTTTTTCTAGACTTTTTTTCCTTTGGTTATTGTTTTTTAACTCCACATCAGTGCCATCTCAACACAGAGATCCTCGTAGGCATGACCACTATCCGAAATGACCAGCCCGTAAAAGCCGCAGTCACACAGTGCCAGACAGACGGACGGACGGGCAGACAGACAGACAGACAGATGGGGAGTTCATTTCCAGCATCCAGCTGAGCAGCAGCCGCTCTGTCTTCCAGCTCCTCTCACATTATTTTATGGTACTGTGCTCGACGGGGGAGCAGAAAAAGCCTCAGAGCCAAACTCTACCTAATTCTGGATGGATTTCTAGCTCCACTCCAAAAATATTACATTTCCTGTGTGCAGAGATGGAGATCAGTATTCTAACCCAAAGCAAAAATATGATTAATTGCTCCCTGCCTGAGTCCAGGCGTGAGGGTAGTAATAAGCCTGACTGGAGCAGTTTCTCTTTTCAAGCTATTCAGCTCTGCCGCTGTTATACACTCCCCTAATGTATGCACTGCATTAGAAATATCCACATAAAATTGAATCTGGATAGTTACACATGTAAGTACCTAACTCAGTCTGAAGATGAGGCTTAAATAAGACAGGAAGAGAAAAGGAAAATGGACGAGCTGTCGTCGAGCTGCTCTTTGATACGGCGAACAAATAGCAGGAGCGTGAAAGGTCCCATTTTTCTCTCTTGCTCTTTGGCTCCTTTTTTTTATTATTTGCATCATCTTAAATGCCAAAGTCAGGGAATCTTTTCATTACTTTCTGGCTCAGACACACGCCGAAATAAATGCACCTTCTTTTTTTTCCTTCTTTGTAATGTGCGTTAAATATTTCAGAGATTTCCAGAAGAGCGATGGAAGCAGGGTGGAGGAAGAGGAGAAGTGCTGAAACTTTGCCGACCAAGGAATGCTTAGGCGAGGGTAAGAAGCACTGCTGCCTATTTTGTATAGTTTTCCGGAAGGTAGGTCCGAGTGACAGCAGGATTCACTATCAGTTGAAGTAATTTAAGTGGATCTAAAGGTTATTTATAATTTTAACATTGAGGCAAACAAATATTAATAATAATAAAAAAAAAGACAACAAGCAACAACAGCTAACAGCAGAGTACTCTGCGATGGACAGAAATAACTTCGCCTGCTCTTATTTATTTTTATTTTTTTTTATCCCATCCAGTTCTGTTCTTTTGTCATGACTCTCCTTTTGGTAAACACATCAGAACAGGACACATGCCTCTGTAACATTGGTCCACGTGAACCGAGTTCTAGTTCTAGTGAACATCAGTCCTAGTTTTGCTTTGAGACCTGGAACGACACCAACCTCAATCCAGTAGTAGTCAACATTCTCACTCCCTGTGGCCACTTAATATTTGTAAAAAAAAAAAAACAAGCTTAATGCCAAATAAAAATGTATATATTACTATAAACTTGCACGTTGTGTATATTGGCTGTCTTTGATATCTCAAGTTTAGATCATTCCAATTCCATTGACGTTCTGGTACAGACGTTCTACACGATCTACATGTGCAGCCAGAGACATTTTCATGAATGACGGTGATTTCTACACAGCGAGTTGAAACAGGAGCTGAAGTGGTTAAATACATCTGGTACTTACAGTCAGAATGTTCACACTTACTATGATAATACACACACACACACACACACACACACCTCCACCCACTCTCAGCCTTATCTGCTCTCCACCAGGTTATTAGTTACTTTCCCATTGCCATGGCAACAAAGCACTGTTCCTGCTTCAGCTGCGTCCATTATGTTTCAGAGAGAGGGGGAGAGAGATAGACAGAGAGAAAAGAGAGAGAGGGGAATGGAAAGGCGTTGAGAAAAAAAGCAGAAAGTTAAAGGAAAAAAGAGATAGAGAGAGGGAACAGAAAATAGAAGGAGAGGAGGTGAGGGAAAGCGAAAGGAGACTCAGCGGTGCGGGCATGCGAAAGAACGAGGGGGAACAATGTGAAGATGGACAGAGCGAAGACAACAGGGAGACAGTGTGATGTCGCACAACCACTCAGTCACTACAGCGAAAGGTGAAGATAAAAAAAAAAAAAAAAAATCAGCAGCGATTGAACTTTCACTCTGTATGTGTGTGTGTGTGTTTTAAACACAACACCTAAATGTAATTACTTCAGTGGCCTCACCCACATGAAGTGATCGTCAAAACATTATAGAGAGGTAAGAATCCATTTCAATTTTTCACTTTTGTTCTAAATGTATGCACTGGATTTAACATCTCATGAATTACTGTACAAGCAAAATATCTTTTTATATATAATCTATATATTTCACCTCATAATTGTCCTAAAAACACTGACCCAATGTGACAATTTATGCCACCAAATGCAGATTCTTCTTCAAACTATTGGTGCCTGGAAAAAGTCTCATTCTTATTCATTTTTTTCAATGGCAGCCAACATTTCACCAAGAGCCAGCCTCCGTGCCTGCAGGTGATTGTGCGCAGCAGGTGGTGCTCACAGAGCAGTAAGTGCTGACTATGTGTCAGTAGCCTAAACAATCAGGCTTAAAAAAAAAGTCAACTTAACGGACCATGGGGTTTAATGGTGATAGTTTTTCACTTCAGAGTCAGCGACAAGTCAATTAAGGACAAGCTGAGTCAAGATGGAAGTCTGTTTATGTGAAACTGCAAATCTGATGCGTCTGTGTCCTGCAGCAGATTTTCCATTAGATTGGTCAATAATCAATTTTCCTCTGATTAAAGATCCTAACATCCTGGCCACAAATGTGATTCTGCCGTGTGTCCTGGATAAGTGAGGCTGTTATGTGCTTTTACTGTGGTTGGTACACATCAAATGGTGATGATGATGTGTGTAGACCACACACACACGCACACACTGTCAACTGTAGGATTTTTTTTCTTTCATCAGATTACATCCTGTACAGCTCAGTGACACTTCATTTTCTGCTCCACAAGTTTCCACAGAAGTTTTATTAAAACTGGACTAAACTAAGGTCCCAGCTGCAGACATTTAGATGTAATAGCAAAAACCGATTTACTGTTTATGGCATTAGGTAAGAAGTTCTTATGTATATGACATAAACATATAAAATATGATAGAATAATTTTAATGTGTATGCAGTCTAAAGTACTAACAGTTACCTAAGGTGTACTGTTTAATTGCAGTTTACAAATTTAGCACATGCACCATTGTTTATACTCCTACATATAGTCTGTGCCTACATGACTCATCTTTAATAAAACAAATGTGAAGCAAAGCCAGCCACTCATTGATGATTAAATAAAAGTTGTTAAAGCCAGGTTAAGGCAGGTTAAGGCAGGACAGTATTAAAAAGTTACAAGCTGGTTTGAAGCCAAGAACGTCTAATGAAAGCATAACTTTTTGCTTTGAAAGTGAAAGTGTAAATAACTGATTATCGGCCAAGATTATCCAACGGTCTGCCAACTGTCTGAGAAAGACAGGGAGTACCAGCAAGGCATGTAAAGGTATAGAGAGACGACTGGAGGTGTGCAGCCAGAATTACAGATAGGTTCAGTTAGGTAAGCAGATTTCTAAGTGTTCCTTAGGGAGTGGAGAGTAGGCAAAGCCAAACACGAATTTCATTTTGGGGAAAACTAAGTATTTTTTATTAATATTATGTTCCACAAGAATTATTTTGTTAAACAATATTAAAATAAACAGTTTAAAAAGGAATTTAACTAACGTGTGGCAAATTTAATCCTGTGTGTAAGACTTTAACAATCTTTGTGGATACAAAATTCCCAGACAGGACGATGAAATGAAATTTTGGTACTGTTTAAAGATGTTGGGAGTGGCAGAGAAGTACTTGAAGGGAGAGCGGGAACTGTAGGACAAAAAGACAATGGTGAGGTTTGCAATCTGAATGACTGACTACAAGACAAGTGAACACACTTTGATTTTTATCTCTGTCAAATCAAAGAGTCCAAACAATGTATTTATAGTGGTGTAACACAATTGTGTTTTTAAAACACATATAACAAATAAGAGGGTTTAATTTACACTTTCACAGTATTTTCACACATTTTTCTCCTCTTATTAACAGCAACTTTGTTAGCATCTACACCTTTGACACCATAAATTATAAATATCTAAATATCTCCAATTACATATTAGAGAATTTATATCTTTTACAGTGAACTCGGGAAAAAATCCTTCTGTGTTCAGCTGCAAGAGGATAATCAACAGAAAAACATTGAGAAACAATAAGCCTCTGTTTTTGGGACACAAGAGCCCGAGGACAAACAGAATCATCGTTTTTCATAAAAACAAAATTAAAGAACAAGACGGGTGAATTTAAGCAGAGTTATGCTTGATGTCATTTTAAAGCTGAATAATATGCAGCAAAGGAAGCTGGAAGGAGGAAAAAGAGCAAAGAAAATCAACAAAACAAAATATAAAATAAAGCAGAAGCTGTTCTAGACGTTCACGCTCTTTAAACCAGAGAGACTAACTTTTAAATGCGACAATAAGACATATCAACTGTTATAAAGTGAGCACTGTTTTGCATCTTTAAAGACGGGTTTTAATCTGATTCCTGAACTGTACTTTACTTTCTGCTGTTTACAGGGATTGATTGTTTGACTTCAAGATGGACTGATGAGAGGAGCAACACTGCATGTGTGAATAAAGCAGCAGAAATGATGAAAGGATTGTCAAAAACAATAAGAAGTGAGCACAAAATAATCACAGAATTTGCTAAAAACTCCATCTGGGGAGAAACATTTCTTAAATCCACCAACGTCAGTCCAGAAGGCACCTCTAAAAACTGTTTGAATAATCACTGAACCAAATATTACTATAGAAAGTAGTCCCTGTTTTTACATGTACTTTAATAGACAGTAGCATATTAGATTATTTGGAGGCTGGCGTGTGTTCCCTTTCATTTGCAAAAAATTAGGTGTTATTTAAATATTTCGATTCAAGCTCCTGTTTTGACAAGACTAACTGCCAATCACCCAGTGTCCACACATTTGCATTTCCCTACTATTTATTTTAATCTAAGAAAGAATAATTTACTAAATTAATGTGTCATCGTATTAAAGATGGCTTGTATTTAGCCATTGAGACCATTGGAAATTAATTAATATCATAAATCAAAAATAATTACATTTATTAACTCACAATCTTAAATGCAAAGACAGAGAGGGATTGAGTAAATGCCCTGAGAAGCAATGAGAAGGAGGGGCAAAATGAGGTAATAACCTCTTTGGTTATGGCTATAAAATGATGTTTCTTTTTTCTTTTTTTTTTTCATCTCCTGTCTGTTTCAACTTCTATTAAGCAAGTACATCATACTTAGTGCCCAGGTTCTTGGGTCTGTGCAACTTTGAGAGATTTTCATATGAAGCTTTTGTGAAAAGTGGGAGGAAGGGATGTGAAAAGCTGTGGCACTTAGGCCCAATTAGAATATGCATATTTGAATGGATTTAAAGCCGTTAAAATATTCATGATGTGTCCCAGTGCTGCAAAAGGATGAGGAAAAGGATGTGGGGGAGTGGGAGGATGTGTTGGTGGCAGTGTAGGATAGAGCACCCTCTAGGGGGCGCCATGCTCCCATCAAGCAGCGAGAGGAGCAGAGCCACAACTGCTGCCCACACAGTCTGCTGCAGAAGCAAGGAGAGAGGATGAAAGGATGGAGAGAGGAGGAGGAGAGGCAGGTGTGATGGACAGGCAAAGAAAGGGAAGAAGGAGGAGGGAGGGAGGGAGGGAGGGAAAGAATGAATGAAAGAAGAAAGGAAGGAATGAAGGAAGGAAGGAAGGAGCAGGAGCAGCTTCAGCGCCTCCATCAACACAAGCACAAACACACACACACACACACACACACACACACACACACACACACACACACACACACACCACGCTCAAAAGCAGCGAGTGCCCTCTGCTCCCTGTACTGCAACTGGACCAGAGTCTACTGTATGAAGCAGCTTCAGGCCCATTTATACAGTCAAACTGGGCTCCGTTTGATGTAGAAGTCGTCAGATGACGTCACTTCACATCTTCTGTACAGTATCTTACCAGAAGGCTAACAGGCTCATGCTATGGTTTGACAGATTATTTTTGATTGGAACCAATGCTTTCCTAACTGGAAAATATTCATGAACTTCAGATTAGAGAGAAAGACGCAAACGTTTTTGATCCACATATGTTTTAAGATTTAGTCACATTTTTAGGAAAGAACTCAACTAAAATCACGTAAACAAGGCTTTGAAAGGCTAATCGGGAACCACCATCATACAAGCAGGAAACAAAATTGGGGAGAATTTCTAATGAAAAGATGATGGAGTTAGAATGTAGGATGAGATATCACGGTATCAGACATGATGAAGACAGCTTCATGCTCTCACGTACCAACACCTCATATCAAAAAACACTGACGTTTTTGTCCTCCTCTTCCTCAATAGACAGAAATGCATATTACATACAGTCTGTGTTGTACCTGTGTTTTGCCATGCCCAATTAGCATATGTAAGTAGTATGTATAGCGTGGTGTAGCGCAACTGGATACATGACGGAAATAAAAATGAGGCATCAGCTATATGTACCCTCATATATGAGCATAGTATTCATCAAAAGTGGTAATAAACAGAAAAAAAGATAACTAACCAAAGACTGAGAACTGCACAACAGTGACTGTCCAGTGATTCCATATGTTTCTACCTGAGGGTTCTGATGGCATGTAGGCTTCTGAGGGCACTGAGCTCACAGTGGCAAGTGTCTTCAAAAAAACAAACAAACAACCCCCCCCCCCCCAGAAAAACACAAAACATTTGTACCTGTATGTTTTCTGAAAACCTTTCAAGGTCCGCAGTCCCAAGGCTTCCCATTGTCGTCCAAGTCTCTGCCACATTCCGACTGCTAACGACTTTGTCCTTGAATGCTGTCTGCGCTGAAAATGGCAAAAGCTGCAAAGGAAACATTTTAATGCTGTTCAGAGCGCTGTAGCGTTTCAGACATTACTGTACTCATCATATTCAACTGAACGTTTCATGTTGTTCGAGGTCAAACTGAAAATAAGAAATCCTACATCACATTCAGTCCTTAAATGGAATGGAATACTTTTCTTAAATCAAGTTTTTGTATTTTCAAAACATACAGAGAAAAGGAGAACATACTGTATAAGCTGCTGCACATTGACCCATGTGGTACAGTGAGTTTCTGACTAAACTGAAGTTTTAATCAAAATTGTAGTGAAGTTTGCATTAACCGTGCCTTGTCCATGTTCTAGGGAACATCGAATGAAACAGAGTTTTTCATACTACAAAATTCAAGAAGCTAACTTAATAAGATATTATTTATTTCATTGATTCATCATTCACTGTTTAATCACAGCTGGTTCTTCAGCCCTATCCCTATTAGGATCAGTTTAGTGTTAGGTCAACAGAGTCCAGTTAACCTAATCTTTCAAGGACCATGTAAGCCCCAAACAAACCATTCTTTATGAGTGACTCATCTAACTTGTAAACAAACTTAATTGTAATTTAAATGCTGTTTTCAATAATCTACCTTAACAGTTCATAAAACGAAATATGTGTTTGTTCTATATAAAAGAACATTTTACTCCTCTTACTTTTTCACAAACACCCTACAAACCTACTACAGTTTGGGTTTAAATCTTTGAGCCCAGCTGTCATACGGTCTCTTAAGTGATCACACAGACAATAAGGTTGGGAAACATTACATCGTACAACCTGGCATTTAACATCGAGATCGAACTTGCAGAGTGACTGACTTCTACTTAACACTGCTGTCTGCTGGAGTTTAAATAAACTGTCAGCTGCTGATTTATTCCAGGTGCAGCCACTTTACTTGATTGACCAATCACATGGCTCCTGCTGATTTTCAAAGCCCTTAAGCACACCTTCACACACGCCCATTCATGTGCCCAATGACAGGAAACTAAGAAAACAAAAGCTCCCTTTCTTCACTCCTTTTCAGGTATGTGTTTCCAGTGTCAGATTAGATTGGATCTGTTTCTAAAGACTACACGTTGGCACAGCAACACTTGATTGTATTATCAATTTCTGTTTAGAAGGCAAACATATACAGTAGTTCTTTAGTAATTGGCTTAAATACTGTATATTTCACCTGCAGCATCTCATCATGCTGTATTTATTATATTTTAATTCTATTTTATTTAAATGCAATAGGACACATAAAAAAAACACACAGATATTATAATTAAATGACTTGCACAAACACTTATACTCATTGATAATATATTCCTGAGCTGAAAGTGCTAAAGAGCCTCCGAAAAACTGTTAGGGCGGTGACAGAGTCAGCTGCCGACAACAGAGAGGCACTCTGCAGGTGTAACAGAAGCGGACATGTGCGTGGAGCCACAGAGCAGAAACAGGCCAGTTAGAACAAATGGAGACATGTTGTGTTCAAGGATCGTCCGAGACCTTTGCGCTTAAACAGCAGGAGCTGCTGCAGGGCAGAAGAAAGACTGAAACCCTGGGAGTCGACTCTTCTACACAAAAAAGTTTTCTTTAGCTTGTACGTTGGCCTCTACTGTGTGTCCTTTAGTTAGAACCAAATAAGAAAACAAGGTAATGCTCATTAATTTGAACATTTTTTATGTTTATATTTGCTGTACTGATGTACAGTACTGTATACATGTAAATACTTATACTTGACAACTTAGTAATACCTTTAATTTTCTAGTAGAAATCTGCTTCTACGGATTCAGGCTGAGCCTGCAGTGAAGTGGTAAAGTCCTTTTCGTGCTACATTTCTTCTACATTATCAATATTTTTATTGATGAAAAAGTGGAAATTGAGTTTAACATTAAAAACAAAAGTGTCAATAAGACATATGGGGAGACGTGGTGTACATTTTGTGTAGACTGCTAAGAAGTAGCGCAGATTAGCGTTGAGACAGTCAGGGAGACAACAGATAATCAGACAGACAGGCAGGCGGCCATGGCGGCTCCACATGTTAGCTGGAAGAGGCCATTTAATCATGTTTCAGCAGCAGTTGGTGGTGAGCGAGCAGCAGATGCCTCACCATCCGACTGCGATTAATCCTCCCATCGGCCGTCAGCAGACTCCAACGTCACAATGGCCGCAGGCAGCAAGAACACACGGACGAGGTGAAGGTGGGGACTGAAGAGCAGGGACGGTCTCTCAACTGGGGGGCGTCTCCCTCTGTTACCCACACTGCTTGCCGGCCGTCTGCTTTTCTCAGCACCTCCTTTCCACAGACAGCAGGCAAAACAGCACCGTGTGTTTGTGTGTGTGTGTGCGTGTTTAACAAGCTTGAATACTTTGTCCAGAGTCAGCATTAATGTTGGAGAATTCCCTGTAGATGCTGTCTCTCAGTCTCATATTGACACACCTGACCAGTTTTTCACACCTGGAAATATTTTGTCAGCATCATCATCCCTTGTTCTCAGGTTCTAAACTAAATTACTTTGTTGTTGCCATGATGTATTTATTTATTTATTTTTGGTTTGGTTTTTTGTTTCCACAGAATCCTATAATACTACTAAGTAAACTGTATACAGTACAATATCTGTTTTTTTTTTTTTTAAAGTTGTCAGGCCTCATTTTTGGCGGATTATTTTAGAAGCAGCAGTTATTGTGGGAAAGTAGCTGTTCTGTCCTAAATAACTACACCGCTGGTCTTTGCCCTGATAACAAATGTTTCCAAACTTTGATCAATCAGGACAAGAAAATCTTAAAGTGGAAAAAGGGACTTCCTTTTTTCTTGGCCTGTTAATTCTTTTCATCAATGCCAGAGAACAAACCCCCCTTTTGCACAACCTGGGAGGCCAAAGTGGAGCATGCTGGGACATTTTTTAGCGAGTTTAAGGATGCACTAACATATAACCTGTGGGGCAGCAAGTGAATATACCTGGGTGTGTTCATCCATTCAGTGAGATATATTTAGAAGAAAACTAAGACTGATAGAAGAGAGAGAGGGAGAAAGCCTTGAATTTTAAAATCTGGATCGAAGTGCACCAAAGATAAACACACAATACTTGTTAGGATGTCTTTAACAAAAACAAAAAACAAGCCAACAACAATACTTACAACAAGTATAAATAGTTAAGTGCTGTTTTCACGGCGTTGTTGGTATGGACACTGCAGCCCATTTCAGCAAGCTGACCAAACCAAATGCACAGTGACAAAAAAGAAAACAGCTTCTTTGGACATCTTCGGTGCGCAAATATACAGCTCCCTGTCCCGAAAGAGGGCGTTTGAGGGACACTAAATTAAACGCCAAACCTCCTTCCATTGACACCAGTGTAGTCCATTGGTTAGACTACAGCAAAAACTACTGACTTCAATGACAAAAATTAAAATGCACAATCTATGTTCTTGAATATTAGTCATCAAATCGAAATAGGATCCGACAGATGAAAACAGAAGGGTCAAATGTAGCTTTGTGACCTCATTGTTATTTTTGGTGCTGTCGCTTCATCTGTGCTTATTAGTGTATGTGCTGTGACCCTAACACTATGAAAAGTTTGCATTAAAAAAATATTGCATTAAAAAAAATTCCATCCATTTTCTTGTCATGTGATGTGGTTTTGAAGTCACAGAAGTCCACCGCTTCAACTTCATTTTGTAAAGTAAAATGCCCAGTAGTTACAGGCTGAAGTGTAATCTCAGGACAAACCAAGCAGAGAGCTGTTGCTTTTTCTCAACAAAGGTCAAGTGTGGGGTCAATTTTACCAGCAGTGATTGAGGTACTTTTGTTGAAGATGCATTACATGGCATTATGGCGTTAAAGGTAAATGGTTCATTTTAGTGATCACAGAGCAGTTTACATTCAAACACAGCTTCTTTACCTGCAGCCTTTCAAGTTTGACCCCAACTCATCTGGACGGACCAACAGCATATTGGTGTATGGGTTGGAGTAAGCAGTATTTTAGATGGTGGGTTTGTATTTAGCTTTGACCTGTTCGACTTTCATATTCCACACTTGATACAAGCTAACACACAAAAAGCCTTTTAGGTGATGTTGATGATAATAACTGGAAACATAAACCACTTCTACTGGAAGTTGGAAGTTTGTAGACTGTTACTTTTCGGCAGTACCCATTTACGTTTAATGCTAACTAGAATGCTAACTCCTAACATCTGGTTTTTTTTTTTTCGGGACACCAAAATGGCTACAGCCGACTCCAAGGCCACTAATCTGAATACCTTCATAAACAACTATACTGGAATACCTAGATTAGAATCAGACACCTGTTTGTAAAAAATCAGTATTATCACACAGAAGCCAAATGTAGAAGAAAGTGAATTATTTGTCATTATGACACAGCACACTGCACACACAACAAAATGTGACCTCTGTTTTTAACTCATCACCAACGTGAACAGTGGGCAGTTTATAAGCACCCGGGGAGCAGTGTGTGGGGACGGTGCCATGCTCAGAGCACCTCAGTGGTAACTTGGCAGCTGGTGGGCTCGGACCAGGAGCCTTTCGGACCCAAGTCCGCTTCCTTAACCACTGCAAAGTGTTCTAGTACTTGAAAACATCATATAAAATCAGTCTCAAATCCCTGTGCTGAAAAACAGCAGAGGTGACATCTGACAATAAAAAAAGTTGAAAATAATTCTAATATTTATAAATCCAACACAGGGAAATGAAGATTATGAAATCTTAACAGAACTCCAGAGAGATGTGAGTCCTCGACCAATCACTGTAATTGGACACTGACACAAAAATATGCCACAATCAGTTATTGATTGTGAAGGAGTCAGAAGGAGCAGTGAGTTCTGACCTGCCTGTGTTTGAGCTGAACTGGCAGGCTCAGTCGCCTCCTCCTCCTACTGCCGCAGCACATTCAGCAGCTAACCAGGTTACGTCACAATTGGATTATCAATTTCTGGGCTAAGTTGAAATCTACAGATTGCGGGCAGAAGCGGGAGTGACGGGCTAAGCAGCGAGCTGTCAGGTCAGATTGATGGAGCTGCTCATTCACAGCGACGCGAGGCCCATTTATAAAGCTGTAATTGCTGCTGACTCTTTCCTGCTTTCCACCTTAACCCCTGCCACCGTCCTTCTCCTCCTTCTCCTCCTCCTCCGCATCCTCTCACAACCAGCCACCTTCATGACTCGTCTATAAGAGAGAAAGAATATCTGGTGTCTTTATTACTGTATTTGGGATGGTTTTTATTTTATAAATGTAAGTTTTTTTTATGTTATTTTATGTTGACTTTCCACCTACGACTTTATCTTCAGAAATATTTGGATCATGGATGTGTCAGTGTCTGATTAGAAATGCCACAGTTTTTACTTCATGTTCAAATAAATAACGTATATTTTATAAACCATTATGCTGTTTACGGCCGTTGTGATGTATATAGAGTGGAGGTCTAGACTACAGGAAAAATTTGGAAATGTGCAAAAAATGTTTTTTCAGTAACCTAAACTCTAAACTCAAAACAAATATTTGTATGCTGTTAGTTAGCAAGATGTTAATTGTAAGGTAAAACTTATCGTCTTCTGAGCTTTTAAAACTGAAATACTTTTCACAATGAAGTTGAAATTAGCTGTTTCCAAAAGACCATTATTCTACTCATAATATGTAGAACTTTTAATTTGTCCATTTTAAGATAATTTAATACAATCCTTGGCAGCACAGCTCTGTAAAACACTGTTTCAAACCAATAGAACAAACGGGAGAAGAACCACAGCGGCAGAAAGGCTTGAGGAAAATATCTGACCCAAAATGTGTTCATCGCTCTGTAGTTCAGCGGCTGAGAATCAAATCACTCGTCTAATTCAGGGTTTTTCTGTCTCATTCTTCTGTCTCTTCTTTTTCCTGTTCGTTCCACTGTGCCTGTTGAACCAAGCTGCCACTTTTCATCCTCTTTCATTACTCACCCTCCATTATTCCCTAATTTCCCTCCCCTCACTCTATGGGCACCTTTTGCACGAAGCAATCAGCCGACAGTTAATGGCTGGGACTATCCCGCTCCGAGTGTCTGTTTTCTCTGTTCTTTCTTTTCTTTATCTTTTATTTCTGGCAAAATGAGAGGAGACAAAGGCAGAAGCCGCCCTCGCTGCCTCAGCTCTTGCCACGATTGCTCAGAAATGACTTTGTCGAGTGGATGGTTTTCTTTATA